ATTGTCACCATTTGATAACCAGTCACAGGGTACACCAGCATTATCTTTGTAAGCGATTAACAGCAAGTCGAAAAACACCAATAACCAGTCACAGGATACACAAGCATTATCTTTGTAAGCAATTAACCACAAGTTGAAAAACACCAATAACCAGTCACAGAATACACCAGAATTCCCTTTGTAAGCGATTAACCACAAGTCGAGAAACACCAATAACCAGTCACAGGGTACACCAGAATTCCCTTTGTAAGCGATTAACCACAAGTCGAGAAACACCAATAACCAGTCACAGGGTACACCAGAATTCCCTTTGTAAGCGATTAACCACAAGTCGAGAAACACCAATAACCAGTCACAGGGTACACCAGAATTCCCTTTGTAAGCGATTAACAGCAAGTCCAGGAATACTGATAAGTACTCTCAGGGTACACCAGCATTCTCTTAGCAAGCAATTTAGGATAATATCAAGTAACACTGGCTACATATTGGCTAATTATGTATCGTCTTAATATCTTAATAAATTATCTCAAATAGCATAAACTAGTCCGTTCTAACCCCCAAATATACAACCATTTAACCAATTGATTACAACTTGTGTTGCAATTATCTTTGAATATTTATCTTGGTCAATGTAAATTAAATTGCTCCACTTCATTGACATTGATTTGAGAAATACTTGTAACATGCTTTTTTAAAATTTTTTTTTAATCTTGCTCCTGGAATTCCTTTATAACACTATACCCCAATTGCTCTGGACGGCATGCGATGGGCCTCACATGTGTTGAATATAGAGGTCACCACCAGTTAAAACAAGGAGACCCTGTCTCTAAATGTCTCTGGTTGTCACGGGGCATTAAACCCAGCAAAACACAAACAAAAAACATTTTTTTACAAGAATTCAGAGAAATCTGGTATAAGTTGTACCAAATACATGTACAATATTTCTTAAGGTTTTGATAATAACTGGACATGATCCAGAGTAATTCAGCACTTTTTAAAAATAATTTATACATCTGTGATAGTAACAACTGTACAGTACTAGGATCTGGGAGAGTAAAATGAATTACTGCTTGATACAATCATGTAAAAAAAAAATGGAAATCCTAAAGCTCTATGTAAGCTAGATTTTACAAATTGAGAATAAAAATATCCCAACTATGATAAAGTGATATATTAACATGTCAATCTATGGATAAAAGGCCAGTACACAGCCCTTAATAAGCTTTAATAACATGACGTAATAATTGCAAATATTGCAAAATTCTAACACATTTTAAATCATTGTTATAAACGATGCTCTATATTAATGTTTCTATCAAACAATTGTCAAATATATATAAATATTTCAGGTAGCTTCCGACACACTGCGAACAATCAAACACAACAATACTGACATTAGTCACAGCCATGCTGTAAACAATTAATATAGAAGTGTTGGGAAGAACCTGCTTATTGGAGTGGTCAGCTAGTATGGGGGATTCATATGTCTCTTACATTTCACTAAATGTTATGTTCATATCAGAGTGACAGGATCGCATTGCAGATATATCCTTTACTTTCCATCAAATTTTGTTTAAATAGGGGTGGTCTAGTATGTCTTTGACTTTTAACCAAATTTTAATTTTATATCGGGTTGGCTGTGAGGTGTAGAAGATATCCCTTTAACTTTCCATCAATTTTTTCTGTTTATATCAGAAGGGCTTGGTGGGGGAGAAAAGGGGTCCCTTACATCATAACAAATCAGTTGTCGTCCGATTACAAAACATCTTAAGTTATCTGATCCTCTGCCAAACGAAGTAGGATTCATAAGATTATACCAATCATATCCATTGGAGTAGTAACTGTAAAATAAATATGATTCTAAGAAAAACAAGCTTATAGCTGATCCTTGCTAACACATGTACAATCAAAAGTAGGAATAAAATTTCAGAAGTTTAAGAAGACAATGTCTTAGGAACATGAAAAGAATTTTGCCTAAAGCTAGTTGATTCTCCAGTCCCCTAATGTTTTCTATGCCTATCTCTGTAATAAACTCTGTGACAAAGTAATCAGTCTGGTCCCCTTCCTGTGAAACTCTCCTATATATTATACATTAATGCATCTTTCGCAGTCTAACTGACTATCATGGTTTAATATGAGTTTTTATTATTATTTGACATACATGTAAAATACCGTAAAACAAGTCGGAATTATTCTGACCTGCTACCAACATTTTTATATCCGTCTGGAGTCGACATCAGACCATCAGTCATTAGAATGTCAGAATAATTTGGACTATGTAAATAGTATGCAGGACTAATGAAAATGATTCTAATTTAATTGTTAGCAACATTTACGTGGCAATACAAGATATGTATATGAAATACAAACTTAACAATTATTATGCAGTTGCTTTAATAGCGTAGTTTTCTGATGATTTCCTAATACTTAAGTCGTCAAACACCACAAAGTAAAACAAAGCTAAATGTGAATACCAGAAAGAGGAAGTAATTAGTAAACAAAGGAAGGATAAAAGCGTTTAATTCAGGGAAACAATGATATCAAATTTAAGAAAGAGAAATGAAGTACTTCACAAATAGCAACAAAAAGAATTCTTTAAGGACTGACGACAGACAACTAATAGAAACAGAACATATTTCTCTAGATAAGAGTTAAAGGTTCCTTTACATTTCAAATACTTCGTGAACCAGGAATTATTTTCCTAAAAAAAAATTTCCCGTCATTCCCTATTCAACCTTCCCTCCCCACCCCTTCCTTCATGGTTCTTTTCACATTATTAAATGTATATCTATATATTTAAGATACACAGTTACTGTCCCTTTTCACTAACAACACCTGAAAATATTATAAACAATTTTATGGACTGAGAAACTTCCACCAAGAACGTACGTACTGTAAACTATTTTCATTTTGCATGTTATTTACTTTTGCACATATTGTAGTGGAAAGGATTAAAATTAACCGAAGTTCTTTGTCATGAATTAAGACAGTGATGAAAAACAATGATAACAGAAGTGTGGTTTCGATTACAATAGACACAAATTCATGTTACTTCAAGGCACAAAATACGAAATTTTGAAGTATTGTACACAGCAATATCACAAATTATCAAGGTGTATTTAACTGCAACCTCAAAAATCTCACATCAGCATTTTAACTGTTAAGTGAGTTGAAATGAAAATTTTAAATCTGTACAAAAAAGTGATTATCATATACTGGTAACGTTGCAATGTGGTATTATGATAAAGGATTATCTCCCTTGAGGAAACTGGCCATAAGTACCTAGAAATGCACTGAAGCCATGTCACAATATTATGCAGGGGTAGCATTACCAGTACAACTTCTGTATAACACAACTATTACGATAATGACAATGAGTTCTAGTTTACCACATTACATTCTTATTAAAAAAATCCTCATGAAGGCTACATTCTCCAGAAAATTAAAACTAAGTCAATGGACAAGCTACTACAAGTGTGGTATTAAAAAGTCTTGGTTTACAATATATAACGATGATGTTAAATATTTGTTAGGGGTATGTTGTGTATTAATGGTTAAAAAGACACTGAAATAAAAGCTGACTTTAAAATAACTTAATATGAACTTAATGAGTAATATAGCTTCAGCAAAAAATAGTGTTAGCGATAATCAAACATTTAAATGGTACATGGATTTTTGTCCTTTTGTGCAACCTTAGTCTATCACTATAAAATATTAGGTCTTTTAGCAAGCCAGATCCGTGTTATGTCTTACACATAGTTAAACATCTGGAAGCATTTCCTCTGGTTGACCGCAGTGTCACACTCACAGTACAATATATTGTCATTAAAAGGGATCTCTCCTTACAGTAAAAGTTCCTATTTTACTGGTAATTTTACTTCAGCGCTTTTCATGCTGGATGTAATGCTGTAAAATGTGATTACACTAATTGTCACTTCTGCATATTGTTTATAAACAACCAGTCTTACTGGTTCACACATGAAAAGTAATGTGTTAAAATCTGATTGTGCTAAATCAAGTACTTCACATTATTGCATTAACTGTACCTCTATGTGACCTGGTTTGTCATGGGCCTTAGGCACTGCCTTTACCCTTTCTCAGTATGGATCATCACATCCCTGAAGAAATTGCCTCTATTTAATGCAAATCACATCTGTAACTGCTTCACACCTGCTTCATTCAGTACATGGACCATGGACATGTAAGACTTAAAACACTACAGAACTGTAGAGGAACTTCTGGAAACCTCCAACATTCTAACAGGTGCCATCAGGCGTGTTCTAGATGAGGCTTGTCTCGACAATTCCTAACAGATATCCCAGACCTGTTGGGCTATATATACACTGCTGCAACAATCAAGATGTAGGCACAAATGATTTATCATGTAAACTCCTTCCAGTGCAATAGTCATTCAGCGCACAGCTCTTCCTCATCGTTTAGATCAACATTGTATGACAACACTCTTCATGGTGTATGGACAATGAAAGTGACCATGTCATCATTGTTAGGCCAATGTTGTGTGACAAAGACCTTCATTGTTAGGTCAATGATGTGTGACAAAGACCTTCATTGTTAGGTCAATGTTGTGTGACAAAGCCCTTCATTGTTAGGTCAATGTTGTGTGACAAAGACCTTCATTGTTAGGTCAATGATGTGTGACAAAGACCTTCATTGTTAGGTCAATGATGTGTGACGAAGCCCTTCATTGTTAGGTCAATGATGTGTGGCGAAGCCCTTCATTGTTAGGTCAATGTTGTGTGACAAAGACCTTCATTGTTAGGTCAATGATGTGTGACGAAGCCTTTCATTGTCAGATTATTGACATGTGACAAAGTCCTTTATTGAATGTCATTTAACAATTCCCTTCATTGTTAGGTCAATGTCATTTGACAATTCCCTTCATTGTTAGGTCAATGTCATTTGACAATTCCCTTCATTGTTAGGTCAATGTCATTTGACAATTCCCTTCATTGTTAGGTCAATGTCATTTGACAATTCCCTTCATTGTTAGGTCAATGTCATTTGAGAAGCCCTTCATTGTCAGATTATTGACATGTGACAAAGTCCTTTATTGCTAGGCCAATGTCATTTGACAATTCCCTTCATTGTTAGGTCAATGTCATTTGAGAAGCCCATCTTTCTCAGATCAATGATGAATGAAAAAGCACTTCAATGCATTGGGTTAAAGTCTAAGGGGAGAGACTCTGAACTTGTCATGACTGATGTTTTGGTTAAAGACATTTTAAACTGAGTTCGTCACTGACTGGCTCTAGGTATTGCACCATGTTTCTAATGTTTTCTAAGCTAGATTTTTGGTAATTGGTTACCAATCCCAGCAAAGCACATACATAGTCCTAATACATTGCACAATCATGACAACTATTCTTCACAACGAAGAAGAAAACATGCTAGTTGTTCTGCAGTCATCTTCATCCTCGTGCTATACAAACAGAGCTGGGTCAGTCTGTCAGCTCTTGCCAGAAGCAACTGAGTGATCTGATGTTATAGAACTGTCTTTAGTGTCCTTTGTCACATGTGTATAATTGGAGGGCCCCACACTTTCATATGCTTCATCCTGATAAGGATCCTTGTCATCAGAATTAGAATTTGGTTTTTTCTCCATGTCAACATAATTTGGTGAAAGTTTTGCATCACCCATATAGTTTGCTCCATCTCTCACTTTGTCTCCTGTAGAATGATTTACTTTCGCTTTATCCACTTCAGTATAGTTTGGCATCAAATGCTTTTTGTCTGTGCCTTGATTCAATGACACAAAGTGATCATTTCCTGGCCTCTGTAAGGAGGAATTAGCTGACTGGTTGCCAATCTTAGGCTGGGTTTCTTCTTCATTCTCCTTGGCTGCACATTCACCATGCTCTAGAGCTCTCTCGCCTGGCATAAATTGGGCTCGGTTGCGATGAACAAACTCTTCATCGGATAGGTTTGTAGGGAATGCTGGAAGGATGTTATTCTCCTCAGCTGAAACATACACATATTATAGTTAGTTATAACATCTAGTGTACTTTAAAAAAATATACTTGTCAATAAGGCTTTTAAAACAAAATCAGTGAAACTGATGAATGCTACCCGGAAACAACTTAATCATACACAAAATTTGCACAAAGGGCAAAGGAGATAAATTTGTGTAAAATCATTGAGGTTCTAAATTTGTGTAAAATCACTGAGGTTCTAAATTTGTGTAAAATCATTGAGGTTCTAAATGTGATAGCGAGAGATTCATAATGAGTGTGATTGCTAGAGGTTCTTAATGAGTGTGAAAGAGGTTCTGAATTAATGTAACACATTTGTGGCTAAAGATGGAATTATTCACTTACTGCAGGGAATAGGTGAAGACTGCTGTTTTACTTCAGTGATACCATCAGACACACGATCATCGGTGGGGTGAATTGGCACTTGACTGAAACCAGGTGCAGGAGACAGAAAACCATCCGATGGAAATTGATTCATGGCTGCAGTAAGATGTTGTTTAAATTCGATTAAATTTTCTTTAGGCCTTCATTTAATTTTATAATCACACAACAATAACAAGGAAGAAAATGTCTGGATTTGCATCATATTTCTTTAACAGTATGATTATCTAGTGTCAATGTTTTATGCTTAAAAATAAAATTTTACATGGCAGTTACAGATAACTTCACATATTTACTACCATATATGTCAGATAAACACCTCAAAATGGTCAAGAACAAGCCGATGGTTGATACAGAATATCTGTGACCTTGATTTACAGTGATCATGTTGACTTGGGCAAACCCAACAACAATGAACTTAACTAGTCCTCCCAATTGCAACCTTAACTCCATCCTAACAACTATGACCTTGATTTATATTTAACTACATGACCTTTATTTACTTTTATAATCTGACCTTGAGTAACCTACAGTGATATGTCTATGACCTATGTACCAACAGATAATTGTGACCTTGAGTTATCCACAGCACAATGACCCTGACATATCACCCGTTGAGTGCTGTAACCTTCATTGTTAACGTTGTGACCTTAACATTCATGACTTATCGCCATGGTATTTTGACCTAGATTTCTCTCCATACTACCTTGACCTTGACTTATCTCCATACTACCATGACCTTGCCTTATCTCCATACTACTTTGACCTTGACTTATCTCCATTCTGTTATGACCTTGACTTGACTCCATGCTACTGTACCTTGATTTATCTCCCATGCAAATTAATGTGACCCTGACTTACACTCACTTGACATACAGTCAACCTTAACCTACACTCACTAGAGTAACCTTGACTTGTGCTCACTTCTGCGACCTGGAGTTTTACCCACTACTGACTCCTTAACTTACCTTCGAAGTTGTTGCTTGCACTGCCACCACTTCCAGGAGTGTGTGGTGTTGTGTCCTGAACAGGGTGAGAGATCTGTCGTGGTAGGGTCACCCTCAGGACATCTTGACCTCTTGGAATGGCACTCATGTAGCTGCTATTGGTTGGAGACCACTCAGGTGGAGGCGGAGGCGGCTGGTTGTCAACCCTTGTTGGTGAAAGATTTGGGTGTGGTGGAAGGGTTGGGGGGACCAACGGCTGGCGCTCATGGCCAATATTATTTGATATGTTAGCCATCTCTTCATACAGCTTCTCGTCACATGTGATCTGGCCGTTTAAGTGATTGCCATTCATTTGACCAATTAACTGGCCATTGGCTGTAGATATAAACACATCATTGATTGAATGACCTATGCTTTCCCATGTAAGACACATAATTATAGATTCACTTATCCTATTATCTCTATGAAGCATAAATCCCATGTACAGTGTACAAAAACATGATTCTACACGTCCATATTAAAGAAGTAGATTTGTTCTACAAGCTAGTTCATACAACTCTACATAAAGTACCCTCTATCAATATCTGCTATTTTCACTAACATTGTATATATGAACCTGGTCATCATCCAAGCTCTAAGGTACATAAAATAGTTCTGGTCCTAATTTTAGTTTTTCCTGACTTCATTTGGCAATTCTGATTTACTCAGATTTTGTGGATTTTCCCGGAGTAATTCAATTTCTTCTCACATTAACATTATATAAGTAAATGCATTCTGATCACATAACAATTACTTTAAAATTATCAATCTTCTTTTCCATCAGAGAACTTACCAAATGGTCTCTTAAGAATCTCCCTGCACCTTTTCCCTCTACAGTAGCAACAGATGAAGGTTACCATAATTCCTATCAGAATCAGCAGCACAATCAACAAAACAACGATGCTGAAACAAAGACAAGGTAACCATGACAATCACTAAAACAGCAATACTGAAACAAAGACAAGGTAACCATGACAATCACTAAAACAACAATACTGAAACAAAGACAAGGTAACCATGACAATCACTAAAACAACAATACTGAAACAAAGACAAGGTAACCATGACAATCACTAAAACAACAATACTGAAACAAAGACAAGGTAACCATGACAATCACTAAAACAACAATACTGAAACAAAGACAAGGTAACCATGACAATCACTAAAACAACGATGCTGAAACAAAGACAAGGTAACCATGACAATCACTAAAACAACAATACTGAAACAAAGACAAGGTAACCATGACAATCACTAAAACAACAATACTGAAACAAAGACAAGGTAACCATGACAATCACTAAAACAACAATACTGAAACAAAGACAAGGTAACCATGACAATCACTAAAACAACGATGCGAAACAAAGACAAGGTAACCATGACAATCACTAAAACAACAATACTGAAACAAAGACAAGGTAACCATGACAATCACTAAAAAAGCAATAATGACAATCACTAAAACAACAATACTGAAACAAAGACAAGGTAACCATGACAATCACTAAAACAACAATACTGAAACAAAGACAAGGTAACCATGACAATCACTAAAACAACAATACTGAAAAAACAACATTGGTTGTTTTTTTAATACATCATTGTGTATTTTTCAATGTCTTTCCTGAATGTTGTACTTACATAATGATTGCAACAGATGAAAGTCCCTCCTTCCCACCATGGTTATGACTGCCAGCTTTACTGGTTGGAGAATCAGTAGGTTTTGATGAAGCTACAAGTAAAAACATTATCAACTGATATCACAGATATTCTAAAATTTCATTCCTAGAGTTGTGTAGGAAGGTAAAAAGCATGCATCTGATGTCACTGAAAATCATCTTATTGTAAAACATATCCTTTTTCATGTATTTATATGGCCCAGCAAAAGCACTCATCCTGGTGAGAGAATTTTGGCAATGGATGAACAATTCTTAATGGCAATTAGTAGGTCCATTCCATGAAAAAGCTAAATAAAACCCAACCTTTATGCATTAATCATGAAATTTTAACCCATAATCACGAAAGTTTATACCTCCTTGACGGAAAACTTGACAGAACGAAACAAGTGTTTCAATGACCGTGATTATGATATATACTTCTGTGGTAGTGCCTCAGTTATCAGTAAGTGTAAGGGGGACCCCCAAAGTTATCTGAATGAATACCACTCAGCAAAAATTACAAATGAAAGACAGTAGCCATGAGGCATCCGACTAAAAAGAAAACTGGAACCAAAATGATCGTAGGAAATATTATCTTAGAAGGCACTATGCTTTCTGTAGGTTCCTTGAAATCATCTGATGTTCTTTAAATCCTGTCTAATTAAGTTAAGTTACTGTTGGTAACAATTTTAGCAAAACATTCACCAGACACCAACAACTGATTCACAAATAAACTTGATTGAAATAAAGTCTAATACATGGTGTTTGGTTATTATATGCATGATTTGTAAATTTCTTATGTAAATTTTTTGGACAAGTGAATTAATTGTCTAGACGAGTACTTTTAACCAAGCCAATAGTCCTACAATGTCAGCTCTGATTTAGAAAATAATGATATCCTCTCGGAACAAATTTCCAAAACAGTCCAGGTATTTACTCAAATAGATAATCATGCTCTAAACCTAATTGAGTTCTAGCAGCAACAATGATCTTAATCCCAGAATACCTTATACAACAATATTCATACCAGAGCTACAACAATGGTAAAGAGATGATATTGTGTTGAAGTCCCATTCAACACCATATGTGTATAATGACAATTCAATCACTCTTTAAACACTGGACTACCTACTTACTTGTTGGTCTGACCTTGGGTGTAGATGGTGCTGGCCTGGTCACTTACCTGTTGGTTTGACCTTGGGTGTAGATGGTGCTGGCCTGGTTACTTACCTGTTGGTCTGACCTTGGGTGTAGATAGTGCTGGCCTGTTTACTTACTTGTTGGTTTGACCTTGGGTGTAGTTGGTGCTGGCGTAGTTTGTGCTGGAGTTGCAGTAGTATCAGTTGGGATTCCATTCACAAAAATTCTGTTTCACACAAGAAAGATAACTTTAATACATACTACATACTTATTACAAGCTTTAGTGACAAAATGTATGGGTTATTTTTATTTTTTTGGGGGTTATTTTTTATTTTTCGGGGGTTATTTTTATTTTTTTGGGGGTTATTTTTTATTTTTTCGGGGGTTATTTTTTACGTTTTTTGTTTTTCTTTTTTGGCTTTTGCTCAATTTCTATTTTTGTTATCTTCTAATACTTTGCCCTATGAAACATATACTGTTTTGAGTGTAAAAATATTGCATTCATAATTCATGTTGATTAAACCATATACATATAGAGATCCACACAGATATAATGCTTGACAGCATTGTACTAGGTCACCTTACACTTACCGGAAAGCCGTTTCATTGAACTCGCATGGACCACAATTGTTGCCATGTTTGTATGTTAATTCAGGACACGGCTCACAATCTGTTTAAAAAGATTTATATCGTCTGAATGAACAAGAGTCAAATTTAAGTAACAAGAATGTTTGAGTTCATGGAAACTTGATATCCTGTGATATAAGTAGATGTAATTATCGTATTTGTCTCATTATAAGTCCACTTGAAGAAATTTTCAGTAGAACGACTTCAAGAGAGAATTAGTATGTTGTCCCCCTCCCCAACCCCAGACTTATTTTCCCCACAATAAGCCCATCCCCTGACTTTGATTCATAGCTTGAATGTTGGACTTTGGCTTATTGTACTTTATAATCCCCTGACTGAGAATCAGAATTTGTATGTTGGTAAACCTGGGCTTATTGTCTTTTATTGTAGTGTAGTCGGTTTTATATATATTTTATAATGGTCTTGGTCTTTTATCTTGGTCCTGGTGTTGATGGCCAGATGAAGTAATGGTAACACAATGGCCTTTCATCTAGGCAACCAAGGTTCAGCTTCCAAATTTAAAGTGTAAAGGTATTCAGTCATCTGCCTGACTGCATGGGCTTAACCAAGGTACTTTGGTTTGTTCTCACTATAAGATCCCTCACGCATTTTCAATTGGCTTTATTGATTTATATATTAGACTTACCACCAGTTATCCCATTGAGCTGATAATTTGGTGGACATCCCTCTTTCTTTTTATCACATTCACATGATGTTTCTCCCCAGAAACATTTAGTAATGTCACACTTGCAGAACTTAGCACAGAATATCTTCCCGTCTTTTTCTCGAGCTGGTACCGTGTCTGAAAAATACAATGATTTGATAACGTTTAACAAAAATACTCAGGTTTAAATTTGAGTTTTCCTGTAAACTGAGAAACAGATCATCCAGTATTAAAGTACCTTGTAGTAGATTGGTATGTGCTTAGATGAAACTCCATTATGTTGATAATAGAAAAGCCACAGACTGCTACAAAGAGATAAAATCTCTGGTTGTTGACATGGCGATAAGACAAACAGGTAAACAACTACATGTACATTACAAATCAGTCATTTTTTGGGACTTTGGTATCCGAGTCCTGGACTCATACCTTTCCTGTGGGACTCATGTAAATTTTGAGAACCTACTTTTTCTCTTTTAGTATTAACACACATCAACATTTCAGAATTGGTATTTTGGACTTATCTGTGAAAATCCTACAAATAAGTCTAATATTCTATCCCTGCAAAACCTCCAGGTGAGGTTAAAATAATTAAGGTGACATTATTCACTGCAGAAAATTTTGTATAAAGTAGCGGACTAGTCCTTCGTAAAAGTTGGTGACAGTAATTTAGAACATGTATTCACCTTAAATTTATTTAAATCAAATGAGTATAATATGGTTGTGGCCTCCAAAGTATAAATCCTCTCAGCTCATACAGAATTAATAGACACATTACATAGAGCAACTAACCTCTGGTGGAGCACCTGGCCTCTTGCAGCTTGAAGCACTTGCGGAGACTATCAAGTTTTAGGACAGATGATATAAGGTCTGGCTGGACTTCATCTCCTGGACATGGCTCACAAGTTTCCTGCGCCAGACTGCTAGCACACTCCTTGATCTGCTGTCCTGTTACATAATCATGTAACTGATGTATAACATTATGGAAATTAACCCCTTTACACTGAACACAGGGAATTATTTGTACAGTGGAATAGAACTTTCCACTTAGAAACTGTAAATGTACATATTTTACCAGTAATTCTACTTTAAGGCTTCTGCACTTAATCAATATTGCACTAAATCGCAGTTTCTGTTTGTTGTTCATACAGTTAAACCTGTCATTAAAGATCATTAAAGATCGCTAAAAGCAGCAGAGAAAAGTGGCCTTTACAGGCAGGTGGCCTTTACACAGAGGTTCAATTAATATAAATAGTATTTTATAATAACCCTAGGCCTTTATAGACAGGTATTTTATATATACAGGTAGACTGTACGACAGGTATGCCTGTGCAACTATAAGTGTGAATCCATAATTGCACTAATTTGCCAAAATGTGATAAAGCACTAAAATTAATTACACAAATGAAGTACGTTTACAGTATGTCCAGAAATTTTTTAAAAAGATGTCAGTATAATTTGAGAAGTTGACATGACTTTGTTGAGGTGTATTTTGTATTCCTACAGAGACAAAATAGGTTTATTCTTTTACTGCTCCCAAGTGACTTCAAAACTTGTCTATATTTACTCGTCAATAATTAGCATGTCCACACTAGACCAGTTGTGGCTAACCAACACTCTTGGCTGGTTGTGGCTAATCTGGATGTTTGTAAGCCTCGTTTTTAAATACCAGTGGCAAATCAATATCACTCCCAAGCTATAGCATGACAAGAAGTGTCTAGCTACTACAAGAAAATTATATAGGCCAATGCGACACTATGTCAACATATATCTTTATCATCTTTAAAAAAATTCACAATCATATAAAATTATTTAACACTGAACATTGAAAATTTTCTATACTTCATGTAAAAATTACTGTAAATATTATGTAAAACAAAACACTTGGAATTTGTGTTAAAGAAAAATAAGAATTTGGATTTGATAAATTCCTTATTAGTTGAGTCACAAGTTCCCATTATTTTTTAAACATTATAAATCATAAAAGTAGAATATCTGTGATTAATATTACAATATGTAACATGGTACAAAATGTTAGTCTCCACTTTTCTCTGCAATAATAAGTTGTGGAAAAAACATTGAATTATAAGTTGTTAACGTGTTAATACTGTTACAATATACTAACCCTGGTGACAGTTGAAGACTGGGAAACATGTTTTGGTGCCTCTTTGGTAGGTTTTAGTCAAAACTATTTCATTTTCTCCAGCGGACATACCAGTTACACATAATACAATCTGCAATTAAATACAAGTGTTTATGTTATGCTAGATACACATGCTACATTTTCGAATTCTATTCTCCATATTCTATATGCACTATGCTAATTTATCCTATATATGCTATTCTATACATTCCATTGACTAAATTAGTTTGATTCTTCAAAGAATTAAACAGAACAGGTTTAGTTTCATAACACTGCAGTCCATGAGCTGCCGTAAAAGTATTTACCGGTGATGGGAAATCAATTAAATTCTGTAATTGTATTAACAAGGCTTTCTTGTGTATAACGTAATTGGTTGTGTGTTCAATATTCATTAAAAGTTCCTACATTCTTCATTAAGGTAATATTTTCTTTTTTCGAAACTGTAAGCTAAGAAACCTCATTTACCAAGAATTTATATATAAGATTGAATGTCATTGGCATTTAGCATCTCTATTATGTATAATATAAATTTTGTTTTTGCTTAAACACAAGAAAATACTAAAGTATGGATGATTTATCATGAAAAATTACAATCGCTGGGCTCGACATTAACGCTTGTCCGACTTGCCTGTATCAGGACAAAACTCTGTCGGAAACACGGCAAAAGAAAGTTAGGACATTTCAACAAAACTGGGTGAAAGAGCTCCTGGGATTAGCTCACGATGAAAGTGAATAAGGTAATAGCATATTTTGTCAAATTTGCTGAGATTTCCACAATTTCAGTGCTCTGGCTGCCAAATTATGTTAATTGTTTCTTGGAAATATGATACCAGCTTAAAAATTTGAACAAGTGCATTTAACAGTTGGACAACAGTGGTTTTTAAATCCACTCGCAGGTGAGAAAAAATGAAATGTTGAGCTCTAAATCTATCATTGCATAGATGAACTTAAAATTAAATAATCATCTGTATCTAATCACCATCCCATCACTAGCATTTATGATGAAAGGAAGTAACATCAAGTTTCTTTTTAACCCATCTTAATGTTCTAAAAACTTTTGTATAATTGCTTGGAGTCATTAGAATATCAGAATAATTCGGACTAGTTTCTTTTTGATGTACTTATTACCAGTAACAGCTTATAGCAAGATAAATATTCCATGTAGTAGAAATGTGCAAACATATCCTTAAAGGGATTTTCTTCGATGGTTTTTGATGGGGCTTTTTTGCTTCATTTTTGGAATTGGTGAGGTTGGAAAGAAACTTTCTGGAGTAGGAGTAAATTGCGAATTATTGTGAATTATTTGGGAAAAGGGCTCATCATTCCTTCCTCCCCTCCCGCGCCGCCCCCCTCCTCCCTAAAAAATAAAAACTCTGTATGTCTTAAATTTAGTACAGAGAGATCTATAGAGATATAAAAGTATACATGTATATTGTATATGTATCCATAGATCTAGCAAAGTCTGTTAGGTATCCTATACTTACAATACAGATGAGGAGGTTGTGCCAGTAACGGTCAGCCACCCCCATGGTCAGTGATTACACATCTGTAATACAAAATATATACCAGTTTGACATATCAAACATCATGATCTGTCAACTGTATAATTCTAATAAAACAAGAGAAATAACCAATTAAAGAGAGCGATGAAAGTTCTGGCAAATAAGATAAAGGACCAAACCAAGATTACAACACTAAATCTATCCAAAAAATTAAAGGTTTATAATGTATAACCAAGCAAAAGATCTTAACAAAATATTGTATAATATACAAAAACAACAAGAAAATACCAACATGTGAACATAATCATAATCCAATTCAATAAAACTAGGTCAAAAAAATAGAGAGAATAAGACCAGGTGTTCCTGAAGAGTAAGTGGTTTCTGCTTCACTGATGACAACTGCCAGTCAATGTTGGTCAAGCAAAGAGACTAATGTCACATTTTTGAATGAGAATAAGGTATTAAGCAATGGAATTATATTTACACATGTTTAAATTGCTCTAATTTCAAGTGTCTCAACATTAATCTTTTAGTTTATTTTGCATTTGTTTCATATTTTTTAAGTTTGATTCTGTTCACATGTTGATATCAATTTTTCCTGCAGTTAATTACTATAATATGTAAACATTATACCAGGTATACAGAAGATACTGCTAATACACAAGAAACTGGAAAAATAATCCACTTATTCCCAAGAATTGAATATCCCATTCACAATAACTGAAGGCAACCTGCTAACTGTAATATACAAATTCCTATTCACTAAAATGAAACTTCCTGACTGCAACCCATTCACTGAAATGAAGCTGAAGTGTGTAGACAGAAAACTTGAGAACTACATTCTTATACAGGATATATATGTACAAGTATGTCAGTGGATTAGGATATCCGGATGATACCAAATTCTAGGTCACACACACACACATATATATATATATATAGGTACAATTTAACATACATTAGACATAAGACTTAAACCAAATCAACATCAAAGAATGGAAACGTCATCTTCTGCATGATCTAATGACTAACACCATGCTGAAGAAAAAGAAGAAATTTATAAGTCTCTAGTAATTGTCTTATGAATCAAGCAACACACTTATAAACATGATGAAGTATGTGTATATATATATGAATACATAGCTATCAGAGTACATCTGAAGTAGGCGTCTGATTTATTGAACAAATCTTTTTAATTCTGTGCATATTTGACTGACGATGAACACATCATCAAACATCACTATACCAACATTCAATTATAATACATAGTATCAACAACAATGAAAATAAAGAGAGATTAAACAAAACAAAATTCAGACTCCCTATTAAATGAAGTATAATCCAGATTCCTGTTTAATCCAGAGGAACACATCTTCTATATATTAACACTTTGTTACCTGTTTATCTACAATTAGTTGAGTGGTGATTCAGTAGTATAGAGTCAGCTCAAAATAAAGTCCAATTGATCACCAACACAATCAGTAATAACTGGTCCCGAAAAGCACGACACAAAAAGCGACCCTGATTACAAACTTCATATATGTAAACAAAAGGTCGAAAATTTCCTGTGATTAATTCTCTGTTTCAGGTTCTTTTTCTTATCAAATGTGTCAAACAGAAAAAGTAGATCTATGCATGAAAAACAATTTCTATTATTTTTATTTTAAAATCTTCAACTGGATGGAGTTGCTTCATCTATGTATAGGAAAGACCACAGGGACATGGTGAGAATTCCCAACCCACGGTCCATATGTATTTCAGTGACATCAATAACATAGATATATATACGTGGACCACGTTTGGACATTTATGCCAAGTCCCTGTGGAAAAGCCAACAGCCTGAATATCTGATATACATGTACAACTCATTAATTATGATTATCTTAATTATAATAACATTTCTGATCAAATGTTTCAGAGTTTCAGACATGATATGACAGGAAAATCTCTGGGAAGATTTTGAAACTTTCCAGTTTCAATTACCAGTAAAACTTTGTCATCATGTACAAAATGCACATATTCAAATTGCGATCGATGTACATATATCTTTAAACTTGTATGTAAACAGTATTCATAGCAGGTTTCCTAGAAAATTAAATCCATTTCAAATTCAATATGTATATCTTATCTACAGCTACCATGTTATCTTTTCTATAGCCACTGTATTTGTTAACATGCACCTGACGTAATAAAGAGTACAAAAATATTAGGTATACGTGACACTGAGGTGTTACTATACATGTCATCTCAGTTAATGTGATACCAAATGGGATCAATCTGGTCTAGATTTGGGAATTTGTTTTTCTCTGAAATTCTCAGAATGTACTATGTCATACAAGAAAATCCCATCCACTTTCTCTAAAACCCCGAAAATCTCCCATTACATAACAATGCCATGAATTACTGTACCTATATACATGAAAGGATTTGTAGAATCTTCCTTCCCACCCACAACCATCCCCCTCCCCCGCCAGGATGACAGTGGGATATCTCATCCTGAGGGGTAAGATTATTGCCTGATAAGTTGGCAAACACAAAGAATGCCAGTGTTAGCAACTCAATCTTCCTGACAGGGTTGAGATCCACAATTTTTCCAACAAAAGGTTAAGGCATTATTTTTCATTTATTCAGTCGACCCGTATTTTTGGAGATTTTTGAAGATGAGTCCAGAACACTAATTCCAAAATTTTGATGAGTCCCAATACTAAAAGATACAGTGGAGTCTCAAAATTTTGTTATTAATTTTACAGAGAAAAGGCATAAATTCAGGACTCAAATATCTGAGTCCCCAACTTAGTGCAATGCATTGTTGATGTGACAGCATGGCTATGATAAGGAAATAAAAGGGAATTTCACACTGTGTGAATACACCTGCACATAGTAATAAGGAAAAGAAAAATCATGACTTATGATTCTAACATTGTAATTACTGATCAGATATATAATTACTTTATAGTGATTTTCCTGTCGATTGTTTAATTGTCATTAAAACTAAATTAGGGCATTAAATAACCTATTCAATAAATGATCTATCATAATGAGAAAATTATTCTACATGTCTGTAAAAACTTTGGACAATTTCAAATTGGCAACATCTCACTGCAGGCGTTATCACAAATGATAATCAAATTCAACAACTTATGTCACCCATGATCCTTATCCAACATCTGTTACTGTATCAGCTCATCAGAGAATCCTAGACAGGACATACTATGATTCAGTGTATTTACATAATGATAAATCTAAGTTTAGGGGGAACCACCAAACAGGAAATAAAGATATATACAAAAAGGAAAGAGTACTCAACTTCCCAGGTCCTTCAATGTGCAACACAATGACCTTCCTATACATATCTGTCCATACTTGTTATGACTCCACTGCTCACCAATCTATCCCCACCACTAAATACCCTTGAAATACTTGCATTGGGGAAAATGGGTACTTGGCAAGAAGATAGGTTGATGATAGACAAGTATGATTAGTGAACCACATTAAATATGTATATCAAAATCAATAAAATTGCTAAGTCCCTAAGTTTCAGCAAAATGCTACTCTTAAACAGACTGCAAACAAAACTGACCACTTGATCACATGAATGTAAGTAAAGTTCCTTGATAAGTGTTTGTTCTCCTTATAAGAGACGAATCTCTAAGCGTGGAATTATTTCTGTCTCTGGATTTGGTTGGTGCATGTGCTAAGAAAAACTAAATGATAGTAGGAGGTACTCCATGTCCATGACCATGGCATGCATGATTAGTACTGAATATTATATAAATAGTAGTGTACTTGTAGTGCAACACTGTCACACAAAGCCATATTGGACATGTTATATACCTCCCCTCCACCCCCATCTCTTTCCTCAATGGGCATATAGGTGTGCATATATACATAAGCCAGGCTATGTTAGTGGGACAAATGGAGATGGGACGTGTTTGGCAGCGTACTGTATATGGAGTCATACCGTGAGAGATTGAGGGAGGGGCTGAGGTAGTTGAAGTTTGATTACGATCAGTGTCTTCTACAAATAGAAGTTAAGGCTTTTAAAATTGTTTACATATCATGAAGGAGGAAAGAAGATCTGCAGCTACCAGAGCAACCGCTCAGTAAAACGTTGCACTCGTTGACATAACATGCATGAGACTTGGGCCTGTCGCTATCGTGTTGTTTATTTGTACTCGGAGAGCCCTTGACCTCTGACCCCGCTACACATTTTTTAAAAGTTTGGTGTCATGTAGTATACAATATGATTCAATATGAGAAAATATGCAAGGTAAAACAAATGCCAAAGACAAAGCATACATTTGTGAACAACGAATAGGCCTATGAATCAGGTAGATAAATGATTTCATGAACGGTAGCCTAGCTAGGCCTACAATGAAAGTCGCTATCTTACAACTGATCAAGAGACATGGTACAATCTATACATCATTCATATGGTTATAAGAATATTAAAAAACTTACCGGAACGATTTCCAGATGTTTAATCCACGAACGACCGCAAAACCTTGGTCTAAACTTTACTAACACATAGTGTTTTCCCCCATCGTGTTTTTACGACTATACTCTGGTTGACCTATTTCCAGTTAAATCACAGGCCGTAAACTACAGCGCAACTGATTATTACGCTCACATAATTTGCTGTTTTTATCATTTCATATTTCGATACAGCAAACTTAAACTCATTTTACTAAATATGTATATATTCAAATAATTTCAAATTAAGCCCAAATTTATTATGAGTTGAGATATCACTTAGCGTGGTCACTTTGTACCGTACCAGTTTACACACCGTACCGGAAGCAGTCGGGAAAACAGGTGCAGGTGCGTGCGCTGCTAAAACTGAAACAAGATGCATATGGGGCCTGTAATGTTTTTTTTAAAACATTTCCACTTGCAATCGTCTTGTAACGCCCCCCTAAACATGATGAATTTCAAAGATTCTTCAAGCAGAAATAGAATGATTGTTAACTCTTACCTTTATTTCAAATATTGGGTCATGCCCCTCTGCAAACTTTTCACCTACAGTAAAAGGTTCAAAATATTTTCATGGCAACGGAAAGAGATGAATTTCAAGGATAACATCTATCAGACTGCCCTATCGAGTCATGTCCATTGGTCCTCAGGATGGTGAGACTTGCCTTTTATACACTGGTTTGATTCCTTTTTTATAAAGGATGCCTCGGACTAAATTTGGACTAAAATTGGACAAAATCTTGTCACGGTCATGCCTACAAACGAATAAGGATTTAACAAATTTGCTATAGATCCCTTACTTCAGCCCTTCCCCTCAGGTTTAAGCCCTTCCCATCAGGTTCTGAGGGGACTGAGACCTACCATTTACACAAATTTGTTTCCTTCCCTATCACGTACATTCCCCACACGGGGTTGGTAAAATGTGAGCACCGGACGCTGCAAGCTGAAGCGCTTGAAAACCAGGATAACCGGTATCGCGCCCAAATGATTTTTTTTTCATTTCACTTTTCACAAAGAAAGCAGAACCCGATCAATGTTTGAAAATATGTGTACCTTTGTCTGAATACTGCTTGTTTTTTTTCTTTCTTTTTTAAGCACTTCGACATGGTTTCATGCGTAAATTCGGATATTTCAGTTTTGAAATACGTATTTTACTTGTAGCAATGCCACATGCTGAATTTTCAACAAAGAATTTATTTCAAATAGACATTTGAATCCACTAATTAGAATTTAGGAATTATGTTTGTTTTAGTTCGACATATCAGATGGTATACCATGAGCTAGACGGTGCTTCGGACTACACGTATACAGATAAACAAAAAATACCCTTTGGCCACTGTTGTATACGTAAAACCAAATTGTTCTCTGTTTTCGTTCTCTGCCTGGACTTCTGCAGTCTTTAGATCCATAGACCTATCGTCAACATCGCGTTATTCTTGAGAAGTCCCGGATCTTTCCCCATCATCATGATTATCATGTCTCAAAATTGATTGAAAACATGCAATTTCATGTACCATTCCAGCATCCACAAATCTAAACGTACAGTCAAACATGTCTATACTGGCCACTCAAGGGAGCAAAATAAAGTGGTCTTTCTAGACAGACGACCTTTATGTAGAGGTTGAATTACTAAGAATTGCATAAACAGGCAACCAAATGAGCAGCCTTTGTATACAGATGGCCTTTCAAAAAAGATGGCATTTAAGACAAGTTTGACTGTACGTATGTATGTGCATGTAAAGTATAAAGATAAATTTCGATATTTTCCAATTTCTATCAATGAAACAGGACTCATTAGACCGTTCCTCTAATCACATCATCACCACGGAATAAGATAAACGCCAAGTTCATGGTACAGCTCAGTTTCTCAATTTCTCCTCCTTCGTTCAGTGGCTTTCAAATTTCTTTACATGAAAAAGACGAAAAAGCAAAGCAAAATGGCCGAAAGGTGACCATCTTAGATTTTGAAAGTTAAGGATTGTTATTAGTTGATTGATGGACTTTTCTCAAATATGTTATTTGTAGGTTTCCCCTTTTGCACGTTCAAGTTTATTTTTGTGACGGATTTGAAAAGTTAAATTTCAACTTCTCTGGATGAATTAGATAGAATCTTTAGACATGTGAATTAACAATATGTTTAATAATTAAGCATTACTTTGATTCACACATTGATGCAACTGACGATGCGAAATTGGCCTAAAAGCGAGTGCAATTTGATAAAGATGCTTCACTCAAGTTATTAATTCATTTAAAAGAATTTTTAAAAGAAAAATAAACATAAAAAAAATCAAATTTAATTAAATTCAAGTGTACGGTGTTCCTGTATATGTTACTTATAAAATATCACCAAAAATATCAAACAATGCAAGCAGTTAGGAGACGGCAATATGATTATCACAGAGTACCTCGGCACTTTACTTGGAAAAGACACTTACATTTCTCGTTTACAGAATTCATGTGACTAAGGCCTAGAGACTTAAAACTTTTAAACTTTTACACAAGGGAGACTTTATCGTGGTTCACAAATGATGTTTCCTGTCTTTTCGCTTTGACGCTAGACGAAACAGCAAAATAAAACAAAAGCGAAAACCCGCCCAAACTAAAAGACGAAACGTCAGATAGGCCAGTAAGTCATCACAGGTTTTCCCCTCACTGGAGTAAAGATGTTTGCGGAAGTATGCTGTTCTCTGTAGCATAGAAAATGAAATTAATTTGAATTTCAACTCGACCATTTATTGTGTAATAAGATAAAAGCAAAAACCGGCCAAAACCCTTCAGCAACCAGCGACTGACTAGAAATCAGTCAAAAAACAGATAACTCATTTGAATACGCGACATACTATACCTGTCTCCAGATGATATATATTGCGTGTCCTCATTAAGGCAGAAGTCTCTTCCCCGTCCTGAGCACCTGGTGTTATCGTTTTCAAGGTTATACGAGTAAAACTTTCTTTTGATTACATATTCTATAGTCTAATATCAACATATCGTTATTTTCACGTAGTTATTCAGTTAGAGTCCTACTGTCTGTACGGAACCTTCAACACCACGATTTAACAGGTATCGTTGTGATTCCAGTGATGATATAGAAGAAAAAAAATAAGAAAAAAACAAATGCGTGTTTATGATACATGACTGATGATGACACTCTGAAGGTCAATTAAAGTCTCTGTTTTTCATCACGCCATTCCATTAAAGAGATTGTCTGAGATGGCTCGTGGAGCTAAAAAGGATGTAAAGATTATAAAAATCGATAGACGTTATCATGTAATGATACAGTTCGTGACTAGGACATTCATACAATACCACAACAAGGAGAATGTATGTTTACGTGTACATTACCGTGTGAATTGGACACTATACATAGCCAGACATAAATGATAACAAATATTGATTTGAAACCTCCATTATACCCAATCCCGTCAAGGTTTCCACCCTGTGTGCCGTTTAACTAATTTGTATTCCGACCAATCTATATAGACAGGGACATAATAGAAAATCTCTTGTCCTTTCAGCATGGCTGCGGAATCCTTTCCGCTTTGATGATTGAAAGAGTAATCCTTCCGTTTAACTAACGTTTCTTTGGATACAACTCAGGTATCTGTAATTTATTAGATCATTTTAACCTTAGTTCTATTAAGTGTCTTACAGTCTTATTACAATATTCAGAAGAACTAATTGAATATTGATCATGAAGAACGCCCAAGAGATTCTGATCAAACTAGAACATCTACTTCTAAAAAAAACGTCCATGCTATAAGCATATTCGTATCTACTCACTCTGTAAGCTACTATTCCCCCATACCAATCTAAAAGAGACTTTCATTCTTCTGTAATCAGAGTTCTCTTTTTCCACGAAAGGTGAATCACTCAAGACCATATCCCATGAAAAACATATATATATATATATATATATATATATATATATATATATATATATATATATATAATGAAGAACTTAAAGGCCAACATGTCAACATAATCATATTCCAAACTCAAATTCCATAAATCCAGGGCCAAATATTAACAAAAGAAATATTTGCACGTAGACTCTTGCAAAAGGTACAAGGAGAATAAGACCTGGGCCCGTATTCATGAAACCATTCTCATGCTCAAGCATGAATTGTTGTACTTAAGCCTTATCTCTTGTTTACGTTAAAAAAATTATAACTAAGGCTGATTTTGCCAAAGATTTAAAAACAATTTTGAAAGGACTTCAAATCAAAGCTATATTCAAGGTTTGTATTTGACATTTGTATTATTTCATATGATTTAGGTGAATTATAGAAACGTTTGTTTGAGCACATAATCTATTCTTGAGCATGAAAGTGGTTTCATGACTACGGACACTGCAGGTTTCCGGAAGAGTAAGCGTCTTTTGCTTCATCGACGAAACCCGCCATATAAACCCTGGTCAATTCAAGTATATAATGTCACGTTCTAATATGACAACAATGCATACAATAACGAAACCTAACGAGCATCAAACATGTCAAGCTTCATATCACACAAAGAAATAGAATATTTCTCCATGAGATCACTATGACAACCATAACACTTTAATTTTCATCTCCTGCATCTGTTGAACCCTTGTGTTACGAGTTTGTCCGTCAGTTGACGAATTCTTGCTCGGAGATCGTGATAATGGGAACAGGCCATTGAATATCGAATTAACTGTGATGTAAATACCATAGGTTGGGGGTGCAGGGATATTGCTATCCAGAAATGGAAAATTCACGAAAGAGAAATTGAAAGCATTACGTTAACCATACAGCTTGACGGAAAGCTGCCTATGTTGGTTTCGTTGTAGGAAAAGATCGAGATAAGCAGCTGATGTAGAAGAGTCTGTCGTGTTTTGATTCCCATTTCTAGTGGGCAGATATAATGGACGTGGTCAATAAAATTATTGTTATTCAAAGACAATGTGTCATTAATATATCTGAATCTTTGTACATGTATGAAATATGTCGCGGATAAATTCAAGAGAATGAATATTTTTTTGTTTGTAAGATTTTTTGAGCTTGGTGATAAATCTTCCAACCGGTTATTTGCATACCTGTGGTAA